ACCTTCAGTGCAGACGAAGTAATGGCCTGTCAAAGTTGACCAAAATCGACCTGAGTGACGAGTTTGACATTTTGTTTAGAAAACAATCAAACTATTTAGAGATATTTGAATACGTGAAGGTATTTTTATAGTACATATTAAACGAGAGATAAAAGTTAAAAGGGTGTAGAAAAAACACTATCGCCACCAGAGGGTGTCAAACACGCGACCTGCGACGGCAGGCAAAAGCACGAGTTCCTGCCACTGCGGCTTCTATATACGGCTCGTAACACGAGAACAAAAAATCTGGGGAACATGCAGTTTGCGCCCTCCTTCATTTGAGAAATACCCCCAAAACATATATTTTTTCGTGAAAATTAAAAACTGGACCCTTTCAGCCTGCCCGATATGGGAGGTTTCATCTCAAATCGGACAGACTAAAATGGTGTCTAATTTTTAATTTTCACGAAAAAAATATGTGTTTTGGGGGCATTTCTCAAATGAAGGAGAGCGCAAACCGCATGTTCCCTAGATTTTTTGTTCTTCAGTTACGAAGCGTAGAAGCCGCAGTGGCAGAAACTAGTGTTTTTGCCTGCCGCCGCAGGTCGCGTGTTTGACACCCTCTGCTGGCGCTAGTATTTTTCCCACACCTTTTTTACTTTTCTCTCTCGTTTAATAGGTACTATAAAGATACCTTCACGTACTCAAATATCTCTAGTAGTTTGATTGTTTTCTAAACAAAATGTCAAACTCGTCACTCAGGTCGATTTTTGGTCAACTTTGACACATCATTACATTGCCTGTACTTAAGGTACATTTTATTTCTTTAGCTCTTTAGAAAGACCTAGGCATGCCTAGTATAGATATAGTGATATCATTATCATATGCTGAGTAGCCGCTCCGCTACCTTCACGTAAACGTTGTGAAAAATAACAAATGTCTACACATTTCACGCGATAGCGGCACAAACAGAGGACATACAACCAAAATATTATACTTCTAGATTGTTTTTTTTTTTTGTAGTTGACTAATATGTCTAAAAGAATTTAAAAAAATAAAAATTTACAAAAATGGAGTTTTTGAGAAAATCGATTTCAAACTTTCAACATTTGTTACTTCTTACAACGTTTACGTGAAGGTAGCGGAGCGGCTAGTTGACATATCATAATGATATTATTATATCAAAATGGGCTTGCTTAGGGCTTTCTGTAGAGCCAAAGAAAGAAAATTTACCTTAAGTACAGACAAAGTAATGACCTGTCAAAGTTGACCAAGAAGCGACCGAAGTGACGAGTTTGACATGTGTTTTATTTAGAAAACAATCAGATTCCTAAAAATATTTGAATGCGTCAAGGTATCTTTATAATACCTATTAAATGAGGGGGAAAAGTTAAAAGGGTGTAGAAAAACACTAGCGCCAGCAGAGGGTGTCAAACACACGACCTGCGACGGCAGGCAAAAACACGAGTTTCTGCCAGTGCGGCTTCTAGGGCTCGTAACTCGAGAAGAAAAAATCTGGGCAAGATGCGGTTTGCGCCCTCCTTCATTTGAGAAATTCCCCCAAAACTTATATTTTTTTCGTGAAAATGAAAAATTAGACCCTTTTAGCCTGCCCGATTTGAGATGAAAACACCCAATTAGATGAGTGTCCGTGTTCCTTTGCGACAAGTTATGTTTTGGTGGAAGCCGCGCAGCCCTTTGGCGGCGCGGTTTGAGCTGGAGCTGTCAAACAGCGGTTGACTGACGACGATGACCAGGTCACGTGGGTCTCTTCTCAGCGCTTGATTGGTTGGCGTTAAATCGAAGTGCGGGAGAGGGGGTGACGCGGGCCGGGTAGCGACGAAGGTGAAGCTGCCAGGCAAATTTTTGAGCCGCCAAATAAACGCAACACAAAATCGAAGAGAAAAAAATAAAATATCAAAACAATCTAAACACACGCGCACACACACACACACACACACACACACACACACACACACACACGCACACGCACACACACACGCACGCACGCACGCGCGCGCGCGCGCGCACGCACGCACGCACGCACGCACGCACACACACACACACACACACACACACACACACACACACACACACACACACACACACACACACACACACACACACACACACACACACACACACACACACACACACACACACACACACACACACACACACACACACACACACACACACACACACGAAAAAAAATACGAAAGAAAAAGAAGACACGCTATTGGACAGGGGGTTGACGAAAGGAAATGAAGCAGCTTAAAAAAAAAAAAAAAAAGAACACGAAAAAGGCGCATGTGCAAAAAAAAATGTATATGACAATATAAAAGCAAACGTGACGCGTGTCTGCTGCTGCTGCTTAGGAAGGGAAGGCACCTCAGCCGAAAGTAAAAAGAAAAATCTAACACATAGGAGAGCGAGCGAGCGAGCGACAAAGAGAGAGAGAGAGAGAGAGAGAGAGAGACTACTCTTCGGTTTCGCGCTCCTCTCATGCGCTCTTTCCATTCACGTGTGTATATATATTTATTTTATTTTATTAGAAACTCTCCCGCTGGCCGGCTGCGTTTTATATTTTTTCGTTCTTTTGCTATCGCATCGAGTTCGCTTTTTAAACTCGTCTATTTTGTTTCTTCTGCTTATTTCCTTTCCCCCCCTACACTGTCGCTCTAATATATATTTTTTTCATTCCATGTAGTTTTCTATTTTTTGTTTTGTGAGCCTGTCTATTGCGTTAACGCGAACGAAGCTCGTCTGCTGCAGCGGCGGACGCGTTCCTCCCGCCTTTTCGCTCGCTTCTTTGTGCTGCTGCTGCCGTGTGCGTGCGTGTGTGTATACGCCGCGAAGGCGTCCCCTTTTTTGTTTTGGGTTTGCCGGAGCCAGCCAACAATACCGACGACCAGCAGCAGCAAGTAGGGTCCGGCGGTCCGTTCAGCGTACTGGGCCGCCGTACCGCAGGCTGGAGACCGCTTCATTTTTGAGTTGAACGTCCACCACCACCGCGCTTCTTCGCCGAAAGCTCCCAACAGCGCATGCCGCCCGCCTCCCACGTACCGTCGTCTGTTGTTGTGCCGCTCGCCGAATGCCTGTGTTGGCGAGTCGCTCGTGTGACGTTGTGTTCTGCGTCGTGTGATGGTGCGCTCTCGTCCTTCTTCTGAGAGGTGTTGATCGCGCGGTGCCGACGAAACAAGAGCCCGCGGTGGTGGCGAAGCGATGCGTCGCCGGCGAAGGGTGCCCTGAGCGGTCGTCGGACCTGTTACTGCGGTTGCGGCGGCTTCAGGGCTATGCCGTGTTTCTAAGCATCGTATGTGTCGGGAACTGAGGGCCCCGGCCGAGCCATCAAGACGCTTCGATGGTAGGAACGGTAGATGCGGTTATTGCGGTGGACGCCACCACCTCCGCCACCTCGGCGGCGGACGGCGAGGTGAGTTGTCTCTAACTGCCCGGCAATCTCGTGAAAAGCGTTATCGATTAGTTATATGTTCGTGTCCAAACAATATTCAACCGCATAAAAAGCAAAAAAAGTTGCGCGCGCGTTTTTTTTTTTTTAATTTTTGTTGACGCTATTTAATTTGACTTGCCACCACTACCAGATCGTTGCCCACTCTCGCCGATTTGTTGTGTTTGTTTGGATCTCTGGTTCATTTTACCGACGTTGATGATGATGATGATTAACGGTCTCAGCAGTCGCCATCTTGCGGCCTTCATTGAAGCTGGTAATTTTTCGCGGGACATTTGAACTGTAGCCCAAGCTCTGGAATACACTAGTTGGTCGACATCGGTTAATATAAACATGGGAAAATGGGACGCGTTCCCGGTAGTGGACGCCATTCATCCCGATGTATTCGTGGGCTTCGTCGACCACCTCATTGAGAATTTCTGAGAATCGCGTATAACTTTTGGATAAGAGAACGGTTTGTTCTCAAAACTTCGACATCTAGTCTGAACAGCGAGCTCCACATTCGGGCACAAATAAGCACTCGACAACGCATAAATAATTTTCGGAAAAAGGAAAACGTGGTTCGTTAGATAATACATGTTTATGTGTGACATCAGTGACGAAGACGTTGAAGCGAAGCGAGTAGATCTATTTTGACTCCTCGAAGCTCTGAAGACCCTACGAAGTCGCGAGCACGAAACACATTGTCAGCATTGCAGCCATGCGTAACTTTACAAGCTTCTCACAATATGTACTGTTACTATACATATACGCATATCAGGCACGTAGCCAGGGGAGGCGGGGGGGGGGGGGGGGGGGCATAAGGCCCGGCTTCCCCCCTCCCGAAATATTTCATTTTGCTGGGGCCTCCTATCGCCACAGAAATCAGACGGGAGTATTCACTAACGTAGCCAAATTTTTTTTTTTTTTGGAGGAGGGGGGGGGGGGGGGGGGGGGGTAAGGTAGTTGGAATGTTCATGTCTTATGGTGCTACGGCCTTTGGACACCGCCATCTTAATAATCTTTATTTTGTTGGGTGTCCAAAAACAGCACAAGGCCTAAATAGTGGTACACCGCTCGTCATCAAGGATAAATGCAGGCAACAAAACAAGGTCGTGACTATGTACAAATAATTGACTCAAGCCTATGTCGAAAAACAATCAGGTCGCTCCTGTTCCTGGTGTGGATAGATCGTCCGATTGTCAAGCATTGCTGAGGCCATGGGTACGCCTCAGCAATGTTTGACTGTCGGATGATTTATCCACACCAGCAGCAAAATTGGAACGGGGGGGGGGGGGGGGGGGAGAGAGAGAGAGAGAGAGAGAGAGAGAGAGAGAGCTCCAGGGGCTTCAGCCCCATAAGTTCCCCCCCGCCTTTCCCCTGCCTCCTGGCTACGCCACTGCTGGCGGCCATAGCATAGCTGTGTGCACGACTGCTGAGCACGTGCTGATAGCAAGCTTCCACAGTCCTTTTGCAACGTGTATTCCACACCATTAGGATTGCTAGTCTTACCGCCGAATTCAGAAACCTCACTCAAACTACACTCAAACTGAAGGGCCCTTCCACTTCCTCGAGGAAGGCGCGAGGGCCGGCGCTGGCGAGTCGCGAGGACGGATCCGCCGTCGCGATTGGCCAGCACCGGCCCTCGCGCCTTCCTCGAGGAAGTGGAGGGGCCCTTCAGTTTGAGTGTAGTTTGAGTGAGGTTTCTGAATTCGGCGGTTAGGGTCTTAGCAGCCTATTAATGTGAGCTCGTTCTGAGCATGCGCTCTAAAGAGCGCTCTCAAATATGGTGTCCTAAATTGTTCGCAGCAGCTTCGCGTTACTAGTGGGTGCTCGTACCCTCACGTCAGCACTGATTGAGCACGTACACGCAGGACCTGCAATCCGCAGCTTACCATCTACAAAAAGTTCCTACTTTTTATTAGGATATCGTTAGGCATTTATAAAATGTTTTTTGCGCCACTACCGGTCGACGACGAAAAAAAAGAAAGGCAAAAATCTTCGGCGCACGCGAATCACGGTGATTGCGTGCGTGGACGTTCGTTCCAGTGGGACCCTTCTCTTGTTCCGTAAAAAATAGAAAAAAAACTTCGTCGTATTTTTTTTTCTCCCCAATTTGAAGTGCATCGATTGGTGACAGCGGCTCTCCCCTGATCGCTGCAACGCCTACGGTAGGTTACTTACGCTGACTGTGTCCGAGTATTGGCAACATCAAACGGCTTGTTTGTCCTTCTCCGCCTGGCTGCCTGTAGACGAGTCATGTAACTTCATTGAGGACACCCACATGCCAGGATCCTCAGTGAAGTGATCTTCTTGGCCGAAAGATGGCGCTAACTTCACTTTTTGTTTAACGTGACATCACCAGCATCGTAGTACCTTATTTTTTTGTCGTTTTGCGCATCGACGTCACCCTTTCGCTCTAATCAATGTCGTCTTGTGGTGCAAGACACCCACTACTAAAGGTATGACGCGGCTCGGGATGTATTATGCCACGTTCGATCGTTTGTAAAGCCTCTAGTTAAAAAAACATCTCTAACCAGTTGCTAAAGAGTTATTTGACGAATTTGATACAACTATGGGCCCTCGCTACAGCCTGCCCCCCCTCCCTCCCCCAGCACGACCGGATTGTCACGGTACGCTCGTGCGAATTTTCAGAACTTCCGATTATCGCCTCAGATATAGTATCAGGCACCGAAGTGTTGAGAAGTTTCGCAATATTTCTTATGTTTGTGGTCTGTGCTTGTGGTTTGGATCTTCGTTCAGTAAGCTTCTCACCGCGCACTGGTGTGCTGCAGTGAAGAGACAACAGCGGAGTAGCCATCGCGATTGCGCTTATATTTTGCTTCGTAGCAGCTCATCCGCGTACGATGGATAAAGTACCCCTCCAAACACAAACGTCGAATGTATTAAAAAAAAATGAAAAAAAGTTTGGTTAGTGTTGAGGTAACAACTGTACGTTGCAACAAACATTTATTAATAAAACTCTAGCTACTATACATCATAACCTACAATATTCTGATGATATACTTTTCGAATTCGGGATTTAGCTGCGACACTTGGGTATTGCAAGATGGACTGCTTTATATATTTATATATTTTATTTTAAGTCTCGGTTATCTTGCACATTTATATGCGGTAATTTGTTTGATAGCACTTGCCGTTTTATGAGAGGCATTAAAACTTTAACAAAACAGCTATTTGGGTACTTAAAATTATTCTAACATTATTTCAGCGGAATATATCGTTTGGTTTACCTTTGATTCTGTGCCTAAAATAACTATTAACAGCAGTTCTTACTGTCCTTCACCAGTCAGCATCTTGTTGCCATGCCTGTTGCTCTACGCACAACCAAATAAGTATCTTTTTGTGTTTGAGGGAATCAAACTTTCCGTGCAGTCGACACAAACAGAAGGTTGCGCATAATTAAGGGATAGGGCAAAGGAAGCATATGCCTTCCAGTTGGACACTCCAATACACGATTTCCAACACGCAGTTGGAATGTCCGAATTCCTGCCGGAATTTAGACATTCCAGCAGCGGGAGCCATATCTTGCTCATGACGTCAATCGGGCTAAATTATCTGGCTCCTTTACTTGCCTTTGTTTGCAAGGTGTCGCGTTCCTCCGCTCAAAATTCGCATTGTAGCAGGGACCAAAAAACAAAAAGAGTGACCGCGGTTGGACATCTACCGCAAAGAAATCTCCGAGACGAGGATTATGACTGTCATCTTTCAGAAGATAGCTTCAAATCGCAGCACATGAGGCTTATCAGGGCAGGGTATCCCGTCGACCTTCTCCGATCTGTAATGGAAAGGATGATTCGCGGGCCTGATCGCCAGTCACCAGCCACAAAAAAGAAAGCCCGATTCGCCGTCATTCCTTACGTACACAATTCAGCCCACCGGATAAAATCCATTGCCTCAAAGTTCGACACGAATGTTGTCTTCTCGTGTCGCATGCGTCTTAAACAACTCTGTCAACAAGTAAACAACAACCGGATTCCGATTGGATGCACTGTCAAGCACGAAAAGAAATTCATTCCATGCAAAGAGAAGAAAGTTTACTCCATCCCCTTGAGCTGTGGCCATCAATACATAGGACAGACCGGCAGATGCACCAATCACAGACTCCGCGAACATCACAACGAAGTTTCTAAGGCCTCTCCAGATTCTTATCATCCCATAGTCATACATGCCCGTTCGTGTTTGCGTTGTCATCCCCTCTTTGATGGCACAAAAATCCTTGGGGGGCATGACAGCAGATTCGGCAGGGAAATCATAGAATCATTCGCCATGACCACAGCAAAAAACAACGTGTCAAACCCTTCCCTCCTGCTGACGAAAACTGAGGTTGAATTTTTAAAATCCGAGATAACCCTACCACCCTGACTTGCACTTCGCGTGTTTTATCTTTCCTTCTCGCCCCTTCTCTCCCCTACTCCTACTGGGTATAGTCGGCTGCTCGCTGTTGAAAGTTTACTCGTCTGTTGCTAGTTGAAATATGTAGTTGTGTTGTCCCTGTTTTAATTGTTTATTCTTTCTTCATCCATGACTTAAACCAACACGCTCTTCTACTAAGCAGAGGATGATGAGAATGTTGTGTTTTAAACTTAGCTGCATCATTAAGAGTTTGGAAATGAGACAGCCGGTGTCCGTTTCGCAGGAGCACTGCGAAGACCTCTATACTTTGTTTCAACTGAAGTCCAGACGCAGCCGACGCCAGGAGCCAATGGGACCAATAAAACGGGTTCCTATCATTTCGTCGAAACTCGTTTCGTGGATTTACGTTTCGTGGAAACACGTTTCATCGATACGATCGTTTCATCGTCAGTCGCTACGCGGATTGCACGCTGTAGGGACATTTCGTCACGCGTGCATCACTGGGGTGCCTTCTACCCCCCCCCCCCCCCCCCCCCACACACACACACACACGCACAAACACACACTTTTGAAAAAAAAAAAGAAAAAAAAAACCCGTCAAACTGTCGCCACCTGGTGCGCGCATTGTGACGGAGACGTGGAGGCCATCGAAGCAGTCGAAGCGTCATAGAATAAACTTAGGGACTTTCGGGGAAGCCAGTCTAGGTCACTGCAGCTCGATTGAGCCAGCAGGATCTACCTTCCTTGGTCGAGGGAACACCCACGCTCCTGTACCGGCGATTTCCGGCAATACCGATGACAACCCAGGAGGGAGAAGCGAGATGTCGCGGTGGTGTCGTCTGCCGCGTAGGCTCCTCGCTTTTTACCGCGCGAGTGGTCGTACTAGTTTTCGCCGAGGTCTTCTCTCGTCCCCAAGGCTGGCCTGATAGTTTGAGCGAGTTTCGCCACGTTTGGATGTCGTCGACGTCGTCCTTGGAGGGAGAGGAGGGGGAGACCCGACCGAGACAATCCGACGCCTGCCCCGTTCGCGCCATTTCGACACCAAAAGGCTGTGTCCAAATGCCGGCAGATCCATGCTGCTGCGTTGCGTCCACCCACGAGTCGCGGCCTCAGTGATTTCGGGGTGACCAAGGGTCCGCGATCGACATGGTTACCGCTAGCGCCGTTGGGACGTCGTGGGTGACGGTGGTGAAGCGGCCCGTTGCGATGACCACGGCTGGGACGGTCGCGGGTCCCAAGGGGTCCTGGCCCTCCTGACAAGCGGTCTTGAGCGTCCCTGAAGGCTGACCGGTTCGAATGGACGTTCTTCCGAAATTTGGGACTTGCGTGGTGCGGTACCCTGCATTTTATTTTCTGCTGGTGTTGGTGTGTTCCTTGCCCCCACGCGCTCGAGGATAACCCGAAGAGCGGGCTTAACGTCCGTGGGATTAGCAGGGGTTCAAGAAACGGGGACATGCCTTCAGTTAAAGGGTGTATATGGAGCATGCATGCTCCTATTATATGTGTGTCAGCTTGGCACTGGGGTACTTTTTCTTTTAGCTTTGCTACTTGATTTAATTGGTACTACAAGGGTTGTCTTAACCTAGGAATTGAAATAGAATGCAGTTTTTCGTATTCTCTTCCATTTAAGTTCTTACTACCAGCTTGTGCTACCTTTTTGCAGATTGTAGGACAGGGGCAGATACAAGTGTTTCCAGGAAGGGAGGGGAGAAGTCAGCATATCAGTTGTTAGAGAAACATCTGATATGCTGGCCTTTTCCCTGCCCTAAAATTTTACACATGCGGTATTCGAGAGGGGGTAGGTCAGGATATCTGGACCCCCCCTCTGAATCTGCCACTGACTGAGCACACAGTACCATAGAATACCAGGAAAGCACCCACCCCACTTTCCCTGAAAACTGGGTTTATCTAGCCATGGGCGCTTGTCTGGTCAAATTGGGCGCTTAACATATAATTTGCAGCATTCCCAAGTTTGGTAAATGTTAACAGTAGGAGCTTGAACAAAGTGGGCGCTTCCGCGGTATTTTATTTTTGGTGTTTTCTTGGGGGGGGGGGGGGCAGTTGCACACACATATGTTACATTCCAGGGGTAATGACAAATGTCAGTTTGTTGCAGTTGGGCATCCTTAGCTCCTTTAAAAGAAGAAAGCATAGATGTGTCGATTTTGTCAGGAATCCTTCTTTGCGGCCATATTTTTAGGTGCTCATAGACATGCGCTGCTGGTTCCTAGTGGTGCGGAGTAGATTATCTACACTGTCTTTTGACAGACTAGTTGACCAGCCTGACGTTCGAAAGTCTCCCGCAAGTTTGGGAGGGTCTCTACAAACTCTCATTTTGGGGGAGGGGTGTCGTATCTGATGCAGAGGAAACCAACTTGACAAAGCGTAAGCGTAACTCGGCATGTGCTGTAGGAAACAAAAACGCCCATTCTCCCAACCCGATTCATTTCCAGTCATTTTCCTCACTAAGAATAATGGTGTCCCTAAACAAGGAATTGAAACATGCGCCAACGATTGAATACTCGTGGCTTCTTGCAACATAATTTCTCTCTTTCTCGACGAGGCTACTCAACAAAACTGGAACAGTGGAAAGTCCAGTTGTGTCTTATCGGAACATGCAGTAGTTACGACTGATTTCACCAGCGCCAGAGCTATGGTGGGAAAGGTCTCGAACCGCCCTTCGAAATCAGTGGGGAATCCGAGACTCCAAGCTCCGCAAATGGGCCTTGTTGGAGGCCTCTTGCGGCACGTTTGACCGACGTGTGACCCCTTGTGTGTGTGATTCCTTACCAGGTGTTTGCACACAAGTCTGGGATGCAGCAGCACTCTCGGGAGGCGCACCGGGGGGAGCTGAAGCCGCACCAGTGTGGCCAGTGCCTCAAGTCCTTCTCGTCGACGCACCAGCTGGCGCAGCACGTGCGCATCCATACGGGGGAGAAGCCCTACAAGTGCTCGTACTGCGAGCGCCGCTTCAAGCAGCTCTCTCACGTCCAGCAGCATACGCGCCTGCACACGGGCAAGCACGGGCTCTCCCTTTTTTTCACTTCCACAATGCTGACAGTGGTGACATGCCTTTCGCCGTGCTGTCATCGAGCGCCATACTCCATTTAACTTTAAAGGCTGTTTCACACATTTGCATGTTAGTACGACCGAGTGCCTTGCGTTCCCTCGAAATCCGCTTAAAATGAGAGGACACATTGCCACCCTAGGTAAAAACGTCTGACTGGGACCAGTTGGTATCCCAACTGGGAATCGACTGGTCTATACTGGATTTCACTAGGAACCGATTGGGGCTCAAGTAGGATTGTCACGTAGCCTTGGAACATCCAAACTACATATTCATCTTTAAAATTTTTTATGTGTCATGTTTTTATGGTGGTTCCGAAATAATTCTGACTACGTTTTAAGTAAGGTTTTCTGTTTTCGGATGAATTTGAAAATCTGTGAAAAGACACTCGCCAGTGCAATTTTTGTTAATACAGGTATATTTGATTAGCTCCCACCTTCCATGTCATGATTTAAGAAAAAAAAAAAGAGGAAATTACAGTTTTGGGGAACTAAGCTTGTCGGAGCACAGGGCCAGTAGTCCTGAAAAATGTCACTTTAGTTTAATTTCAATTCTCCGATAATTGACAAAAGGGTATTCACCATTTATCTCGTTGAGGTTCGTTCAGGACAACAGGTCATTGTACTGCTCGGTCACGACAAAAGCCACCGTTCCGGTTTCCAGCTTGGATCATATTTTGTGTGCTTCTTAGAGAGAGGAGGAGTTGTGGTTTTCTAACAGTGAAAACTATGAACCGTAGAGATTTCATGAATGGGGAAGGGGCAGTTGAAGCTTCCAAATTACCAAATTACTTCCCTTACCACTCCTCCCCGAGCGGCTGCGGGGTGGGGTGATGGAATGGGGTGAAAACCAGCTTCCCAGTGACTGCCTCTGGTAGTTTAGGGATTCTAAAGTATGCACATTTATCGAAGCAACACTTGCTGGCAATTTTTCGTCCTGGAACAGACTAGTAGTGCCAACGGTAAGGGCGCCAGCCCCAATCCAGTCAAAGAAATATACAGGCTAATTATTCTGATTTGAGCGCACATTTATGCCTAAATACCACTTATTTTTGTTTTAAACTTAAAAAAGAAAAAGAGAACAACACAGCAAAATTAAACCCTGAATTTTGGAGAATTAGGATTCAAACAACAATAAACTCGGAAAAACAGAATTTTTGTTAAAAAATGAGCTCTGAAAAACACCCTGTGAATTTAAGAAAAAATTAACTCAGAAAATGCAGAACCCTAAGTGATCATTTCTCATATATGGCACATAAATTTTATCTTGCAACTTTAGTCGCTCACTGGTCAAGTGTAAAGTGGAAGCCCCTCTCACCTCTTTCCACTTTGGCCAATGGAACGCTGGAGAGGAGGTCGCTTCCTCCAGCATTTGCTCTGCTAAAGTGGAAAAAGGTGGGAGGAGCTTCCATTTTACACTTGACCATTGAGCGACTATAGCACTAAACTTTCAGTCTCTACTCAGTAGAGCTTCTTTTTTCACAAAGTAGCTGATCAGCATTCTCGCAGTGTCATCATTTTTTTTTTCTGCATTAATAAAAAAAATTTAATCAGGAGGACAATTTTGGTAACAATCATTGCTAAAAGCCAATAGCCACAAAATTTCCCTTTGGAACTTCGGTCTCTGTCTTACTTTTTTCTATTAATCAAATTAGGTTTTGCATAAGGATGTTTGGAGCTCTTTTTTGGTTAATAATAGGCCCCATCTAGGTTGGGTAAAAAAAATGACAACATGTCATTGTTTGCTTAATCTATGTAAAGTGACCCTATTCCTCGGGCCCCAAAGTGGCACGCGTATCAGGCGGGAGGGTGTCATTGTGTTGTGAGACTTGAAATACAACTTTTTATTATTTTGTATACACCGTGCACATTTTTCTTCCTTGCAGTTTGCATACTGTTTGGCATGCACATCTAATACATATTGTTGGAATATTTCTTTAGTAATAATGTATTTATTTTTATAGATACTATGTCCACAGCACTGTGAACTTGTCATGTGCAAATTAACCTTCAGCATCAGCATCGTCTCTGCCAAGCACATCTTCTTCCTTGATTAGAGAAAGCACCCTCTTACTGGTGTGAGCCTTTCGTTTAACCGCTTCTTTTATCTATTTGCGGTTTGGGAGAGCCGAAGCGGGACAAAACACCGTCCCACAAGCACGCTGGTGGGACAGCAGGACCACGGCAGGAAAGGCCCCGCCTAAATCAGGACGTCTGGTCTCTTTAATCTAGGTAGCCGAGAGATCTACAAATTGGCAGCAGTAATGTGTGGCATTCTAAACTTCTCTATTGTTGGGAATGCTACGTGATCACTGCTGAAAGTTCATTGCTAAAGGCAGAATATTTTGCGGACAAACCATGCTTGCATATGTATTGTATTGTGCCCAGCATTTTTTTTCTTCGATTTTTAGCTTTTTAAGTTATCTCCCACAGATGATGAGAACAGTCACGCGAAAGCGGCGTATCCGCACATACTATCACCTGCCCTCACGGTCGTCATTGCATTGCAGGGGAGCGTCCTTACAAGTGCCACCTGCCCGAGTGTGGCCGAGCCTTCATCCAGTTATCGAACCTGCAGCAGCATTTACGAAATCATGACAGCCAGATGGAACGTGCCAAGAGCCGACCCTTCCACTGCAACATTTGCGGCAAGGGCTTCGCGTCGGATAGCAGTCTGCGGACTCACAGATCCAAGGTGGGCCTTCCCCTTTTCCAGTTGCATCGGAACGGGGGCGGGGGGGGGCAATGCCCCCCTTCCCCCAGATAATTGAAAAATTTACTGTAAACGATACGAGGGAGGAGGCAGAAAATTGCTCCCACTCCCCCCCCCATCTCCCCAATAGTTCCGACGATGCTTCCCTCTTCCCTTCGTGGTTCGTTAGACCCTGGTCCAAGCACTAGTGCCGCTAACCCACTTCCTCGGAGAATAGACCCTTTTCAAAAGTGCCCGCCATCTAGTAGCTGCTTTAACAATTATCAAAGTCTAGCTGCCAGTGTTTGGCAACTCGGTCTAAGCGCGTGTCGGACTTGAAGGTGGCGTCGGTGTCCGGCGTGAACTCGGCTCGGCGCATATTGAGAATGAGCGCTGCGTCGTCAGTCGGCAAGCACTTGGATCCGGTCGTGTGCCTTCTCCCCACAAAATGCCGACTATCGACGTCGGTTGACGGGGGCCTTGGAAAAGGCTTATTATTCCTGCTGTTTACATGAAATAGACATGGATGGATAGATAAGGCTGAACTCTTAAAGGGGCCCTGCAATCATATTTAAGCGTCTACCTTTTATGCGGTTCCCACGTCTCTTGGGGTTCGGGCAAGCCAGCGGGCACGGAAAGAGTAGCTAAATATCAGTGCGCCATATTTTAACCGGACTACACGGAAACCTCCTCCACCGACGAGGGCGACCCGCGGTACCGAAAGCGCGCAAAATGTGACGTCTTTGGTCCTGGGCTTACTACTGGTCAGAGCCGCTAAAAACTTCTTTTTGGTCGAAATACAAAATATAAGTGGCGCGAACCGTTTCAGTTATTTATAGAAGTAGTTTTTGTTCACTATTATAGATGAAAAAAAAGAAAGAAATGCAGTTTATAAAGTACGGAAACAAGAAATGACCCGTCAACATACACGCCGCCAAGCGGTGGAAAAGGCGGCGCATACTAGAAAGGAGTAGTGGGATAAGGCGCCGACACGGAAAAATCCCGGATGTGCGCGGTGGCGCTGCAGTCGTATGGACAGGAGGATCCGACCGGCTCCGAGCGTTCCGAAGGCTTTCGGCGAGAGGCTTTGTCTTGCGGTTTGGCCGTTTCGCGGTATGGCAGCGCGAAGTGGCTCCCATTCTGAACTGATCTTTACCCCGTGTTTGCTGTCTTTTGTGGCCAATGAAGTGTCATGCCGAATTAGTGTTTAATCGCGCAGCAAACGCAATGAAAGCCGCTTTGGCTGCCCGCTGCATACAGCCTATAAAGAACATGCTTTAGTGGCGCCCTCTGGCGCCGTCGACACGGAGTGCGACAACCGTGAGCGCTCGATGAGCTCACTATTCCTCCTCTAGTTCACGGCCACTCAAGCCAGAACCTACGACGTCATGAAGGAGGTTATTTTTTGCTTGTTTTTGTAATTCTAAATTGCCTATAACTTTTAAAATAAAGCGAATTGTGCGAAAAGAAAAGTTTCACTAAGTTAATACATTCAGTGCGCTCAGGTTCGGTGCAAATTAAAGAACAGTAAAAAGTCCTTGCAGGGCCCCTCTAAATCATGCGCAGGCTCGGGCCACCTAGCCAAAACTTTTAATTTCATTAGTTATCCGATCTCCGATTTACAAAACATTAGAGTTGAGCCTTTTGATAGTATACTTCTAAAAAGTACAATTTGTGTGACGGTGGTGCCTTTTTGCAACCTGGTGAGCACACCTTCCACCCTACGGGTGGAAACGAAAATAATAACAAAACCTTATTTTTCTTCCGCCTGACACTTTTTTTTCCACTTTACGCCACCTGTCCGATAACCCGTGCTTGATGTCCTTCGCTTTCCCGCCTATTTTTCTGTCGCTGCTTCGAGAGCCCAATGCCTTTACTACACTTTTCAAAACTTCACACTTCACATTTTACAAAGGTCAGAACCATCGCATGGCCGTCACAGCAGCTCCAAAATCACGTTCTAAAGGTAGTGGTGGAACAACAGACTGACTTAAGTCACGGTCCCTCAACTCCGCGACTCAAAAGTGGCTCACGTGAGCCAATTTGTGGGAACCAGATCACCGCTGCCTGCTCTCTGCTCTCATCTATGCAATGTACCTTTGGAGTGTGTGGCTGCACCTTGGACAGTGTGGGCGGAGCAACTTTTGGGCCTATGGACCGAGTTGACTGCCTCTTCTTCCCACAAACCCTCGTTGACTGGAATGGCCTGCCTTCTCGTATTATAACCCCGGAGCACACCAGCATATTTTGTAGTGCCTTACGTTCCTGCTTCTATTAATATTAAGGTTGATTATGTGGTTAAAACATCTTCAGTTCTGTTTTTATTTGCAAACTCTCTGTGTGGGAGAATTGTGTGAGGGGTTGCACTCAGGTATTCTTGTACACATGAATTGTATGCGGTCTCCCTTTTGTTAATGTACAAAAGGTGGTAGATGGACGCATAAAAAAAGGAGTAAAGCCTCGCTGCCATGTTTTCATTGTTGACCATCAAAATACTAGTATGTGTTATAGGAAAGTGAACTTACATTTAAGAATAACTCGTTCCTGTACTGCTCCTGTACCAGAACGAGTTATTCTGTACTGCTCCTATTATGTTTTGTCGGATCGAGCAAGGGCCTACTCTACCTTCCACTTCTATGCTTTGAGACCTAACAAGTGCCCCATTTTTTTGCAATTATTTCCAACTTTTGCATTTGAACTTGCGAGTAGTATTTTATGATATGTGCATGTCACAGCTTGTTTCCGTGCATTTATTTTTTTAAAAGAGAGCATTTATGAAACTGATGTTTCTTTTTTTTTTTCGTCCCTACCTACCCTATACCCTAGTTCTCTCTCGAATGGATGATTACACCCTTTTATTGAACAAAAGACCTCTTTGTCAGGGTACAGATAATCTGCTTAGCCGCTGCTTGCTGGAGTTTGATTAAGTGAATTGTGGGCTTAAGCCTCAGAAGAATCAAAATTAAGCACAACAAAGATGAAACAAGAATTGGACTCGGTTTCTGTGGAGGAACGCCGTGACGCCTACGACTGGAACTTTTTTTATTTTATTTATCATACACAAACAGGTATTTCTGCCTTATTATACTTACAACAGCCAAATTATATCTCACCACAAAAAGATCATTCTTACAAAGTTCGACCATATATTGCCAAGACAAATCTTTCTAAACTCGAATTTTTTATGCATACTATATCAGAGCAGAATTTGTTACCAGCGGAAATGGTGTGCTATGAGAATGCCAATTAATTTTAGAATGCATTGTGCGCCGCCGCCCCCCCCCCCCCCCCCCCCCCCCCCCCCCCCAGAATAATTCCCGAAAGGTGCTGTGCGAGTTTTTCTTGCATGAAAAAGTCTTAAACAAAATAGGAAAAAAAAAAAAAACTGCAGCCAGTAAGCTTTTGTAAACTGCACACAACGCGCAGTGTTCTTGTGGTGTCTTAATCTTTTGGCTACCCATCGTGAGTGTCCTCGGGCCTTTCTAAGGACCATGAAGCCCACCCACAAGTCTAGCTTGTGTTTCAGTTTGAGAACTTACTTTGTGCACTTTCGGGCAAATGGCAGCTCCACCACTATTGCTCTGTCTTCCTCAGCTTATTTTGTTGTTTTCGAATGTTCACTGAGAGAGAAAGGCAGCATGGCCTCAATGCGGAAGTCCATTTTAGCTGATGGAGGAATGCAGAAACATTTATTTGAATGTGTCGAGTGCTCTAGCGTTGCCAATAGCATTGCCCTGTCCCATGGCCTTCGTGCACAACACTGCTCTCCTTTCCCCCCTGAGCCGACAGTGCAATGCAATCTACACGCTTGCCGAACCAATCAATTGCCCCCCTTTTATCCCCGTCCCTGCTCTCTGTATGTGCGTATCGCCGGGGGTGCAAGCCCTTGATGAAAGAGAGACGTACAACTAGTCTAACGAACCTGTTGTCTCCACCGCACTGTCAGCTTAGTGCTGAACGAAGTATACTAAGAAGCAGAAACCGCTTTTTGCGCCAGCGAGTGTTTCTTCTTCTGTCCGCTTAAAACCATGCCTCCTTTCTCCGCAGCAACACGCAGCGCTGATCGGAGGAGCGGCGTCGCAGTCTTGCCCGATCTGCCACAAGATCTGCGTCAACGCTGAAGCCCTGATGGAGCACATGCGCGCCAACCACAGGGAACTACAGACATCCTCGGCGGCCGCCACGGCTGCGACGCCAAGTAAGCGAAAGCAGCCACGCGCCCCACGCAAGGTCTTGCCTGTGCTACACCCACCGCCGCAGCAGCAGCAGCAGCTCACTCCTCAGCACCACCAACAGCTTCAGCAGCAGCACCAGCAGCTTCCCCTCGGCCTCTCGGCCAACAGCGTTACGATGGCCATGGCGGCAGGCCAAGCCGCCTTTCCGGTTCGCTCGCTGGTGGTGGCCAACGTGGCTGCGATGGGATTGGCCGCCACGCCTCTCTTGGGCAATGGTCTCTAAAACGGCGACGACCGTCTGTCCCTTGTTGGGTGTCTCTCTCTCGAGCACGCCGTTCGTTCCGTGTTTGAGGTTCGGCAGGGGGGACATGGCTTCTTGGGGTGTTTGAAGAGGACGGGAAAGGCTATTTTAGGTGTCCTTCTCTTTTGTATTTTGTTCGAACAAGCCTTTGCGTCTTTGGTGTGGAAGTGCGTTTCAATGACGCGGTGAAATATTGCAGCTGCTTTCAGTTATTTTCGTCATTTGGTCTGTAATTTTGACCATCTAAAGTTGACCCGTGTGCCATGCTCCCAACTCGGTATTTGAGGTGGAACCTTCTGTAGATTGCAGTTAGTGTATTAAATGTTTTATTTTTTATTTTATTTTATTGTTATTTTATTTAATGGTATCAGGAGAGGCCTCGTTTGAATATACTAATCTAATATGGTATCATATTTTGGATTATCCTAAGCTGATTTACACACTGCACCTAGTTCACTATCTGAGGTGGATTCTTCTATGTATCATACTTGGCTAATGTTTTTAAAATATTATTTTTGACAATTTATTGTAGCTTATCATTCTTGTGTTTTTAAACACTATTGAAAAAGCTCACTTTTAAATCTAATCTCAGAACAAATAATGAAATAGTGATTGGCATGTCAGCAGTATTAACAGTATTAGAAAACCAGATGTGTTTTTCTAAAAAAGGAGAGGTACACTTTTGACTTGGATCTTTAAATGTTTTAAAATAATTTTATCTTTGGGCAACCAGCTTCAAAAACGAATGTGGTGGTAAATCGTTGGTACACATGAGTACAGCAGAAAAATTGAAAGAGGCTGGTGATTCCCTTTTGTAGTCACTGCATTAAACCTATTAAGTGTATGCATCTCTTTTAGAATAATGTTTATCATTAGAACTTTTTTTTAGAGAGTTTTCTTGTTTCTCTTGCTACTACGGGCAACATAAATTGGAATTCATTTTATATCGTAATCCACGTTTATTCGCACCCAGTTACATTATGTCTTGTTCCTACTCTCAAAGCCAGAGAAAGGCAAGAAAAAGATGAAATGATCAATACTACAATGGTTATTTTCTTTCAATCTAATTGATTCTTGCAACATATTCAATTGTCGCCCGATCGTTCATCGTTCTGAGGATCAGAAGTCAGAGTCATGAATACCTCCATTCCCCCCTGCCGATCAACATCTAGTCTTATTAACCAGATCTCATAAGATACGGCTGGCAGCAAACTTTAATGCCATTTCTTAAAGCCGTAATCGAAGTCATGAAGCTCCGACAGGGATGTCAGTGTCGTGTCTTACGCTTTATATGCCATTAATTAAAGAGATGCACAGTGGCACTGTTCCGGACAAAGTACTTCCCACAAGGCCATGTGCAACGGCGTTGCTGAGAGTGGCACCCGACGGGAAAGGTTTGTCGGGGCCAGCGAACGTTTGTACGTGTTGGCCTCAGGCTGTTGGGACTCTGGAGGTTTTCACTTCCTCAAGCTATCTTCCGGTTATTGCTTTTGCAGGCTTACTCTTCTTTTTCTTGGAAAACACGCAATACCGTTTTTTTTGTTCGAAGTCGACTGAAGCTGGGTAGTTGCAACACTCGGTGATCCCGATGGAGCATGTTGTTCCTCTCTTCGTTAGACGCTGTGACACCGAGCAGTGGGAACTTTGAGTGTCTGGAAGTGTCTCAACCTAGAAATGAAATTTTCTAGAAGCAGACAGCATATACTTGCCACCTCTTTGAAATGCTTAGAAGAGAGAAGAAAGGTTTTGATTGACGACATGTCGACACACATGCACGAGGAGTTGTCGTCGTGGTTTGGAGGCGTTCTCCATGCCAAGGTTTGATACGGCTGAGAGGTGAGGTGCATTGGATTCTCTGTACGTCAGTTTTGCTGACTTCTCTCAGACAGTGTGCTAGTTTGACAGACACGCTTCAGTGCATGGTGCTGGGGACTCGCTCTCGCTCATGCTTGAAACGGCGATTACGAGAAGTTCTTGGCAAGCAGCGGTGCAGAAACAACTGCAGAATAGCCGTAAAGAGGATGACTGCAAGAACTGTTTTACAGTGATCAAGCTCTCTATCTGAAAATCTTGGGTAATATTTAAGATCGTCCAGCTGATCTGAAGAGTAAGGCAAGACATACTGACCTCACCAAGACTTTCGTAGAGAAACGTGCACCTCTATCTCCTCTCCACTCGGCCAAAAGCACCCTATCTCTCAAGTACCGTCACAGCTGTGTATGGTTAGGAAAACGACAAGCTTAGTTTGGAGGCCAGGCTACCCCAATAGCAACAGCTTGCATTGGGTGGACGGACGACTGCCACCACACCTTGAACTTTGACACTTATTGCTGGCCAGGAAAACCTTCTGGCCGGGCTCACGTATGCCTTTGGACTGCGTTCCTAAGGTTTGCTGCGACTTCATGATGCTGCTGACACGGATGCGATGACTGTCAAGCGAGACCCGCGAATGGAGCTCGATGAGAAGGCACTTTGTGCGCACTGGTTTCTGCAGTGCGCTGGACTTTGCTCCGCCGGATTGTGGCGGAGCACTGGAGCTGTCGCGTGACGACTTGCAATGGGGTCTGAACGACGCCCACCCTTCAAGGCGGGGTTTTCAACCCTTCGGGTTTTCTTGTACGTTTCCATTGTGTAAATCTTTCATAGAGGGTTTTTCCGAACCCCAGCAAGGCAGAGATGCCTTTTGTGTACCGTTTACACTGTTCCTATCGTCTCACTCAAGTTTTGGTTGCCATGTAAGGAGGGCATAGGTTTTGTTTATGTGTGAATATTACCTTAGCTGTGCTGCATACACTGCTATGTTATGTAAACGGTTCTGATTTTTCTGAGAAATCCAGGAAACATTTGACGAACACCATTGTTTAAATATTTTTACAATTCGGATCTATTAAAAAAACTCAACTTCTATGAATTTTTTTTTTTCAACTCCGCTTCTACTTGAAGTGCATTATGGCTGAAAATGAGGCCTGTCTTGGTTGGTGTGCAGTTATCTGGTGCAAAAAGGTCCTTTCACCCGTGACTTCCGGTATTGCGGCATTGAGCAACTGCTCACGAGAAGCTGTAACGAAGAAGCGATTCCGGAATTTCGATCTATTTGGGAAAGGGCTACTTGACATTTCAGGTGACAATGCCCAAAATTGGAGGATCTAGGCAACACCTAAATCACATGGAAGATCTCTAATAGCACAGCTTGGTTTGTTGCCCAATCAATGTGTAAAGACTAAGAGTATGTTCTTATTATTTTCTTTTCTGGGGCAAACAATCTTTTTAATCTGGAGTGTCCAATCAAAAATGACAAAGCCAAACACTTCCGAAGTCAGAACATGTAAGCTTAACAAAAAAAAAAAAAAAAAGAAACTTGAATTTCAGTTTTACTCAAGCAAAAATGTAGGAAAACTTGGAATCGCTAATAAAAGAATATACCTCCAACAAGCCCCTCCACGCTTTTCCCGAAAATTGATTTGGATAATGCAGAATTATACTTAGTCTATATCAATAGTTAACAGGAGTGGCACCAGGATTTATGTTGGAGCAGCGCCAGCAAAGACATCCTTTTATAGGAGGGCAGGCTTGACCAGTACATTATCCCACTTTAGCACATATGCTTACATCATAACAAATACAAGACTTGCCAAATTTGTCTATACCGGTGGTACCTATAGTTGAGCTTTATTGTGTTGTGCTTCCATGTCCAAAGGTAGCTTTGGACGCGGACATCCCCCGATACCAAGGAACGCATAGGACAGGCACAGGCAATTTCTCAAACACAGCTAATAGATTTATTGGTTTGATGTCCAGTGCGACCAACTAATCTTTTAGCTTTTCTTGAGATACTACCTGTGTTTGTCGTTCATACTTTCCACATGTTTTCATCACCAGCCTGACCCCTCGTTGTTATCTATTTTACTGCGACAGGATAATGTGCAAGTAAAATATGAAAAGGTTAGGTACACTGCGGGACACTGTTAGTGCGAACACGACATAGGTGCTTTTTTATACTTTACTTCAAAAAGATGTTGGCGGGTACCGAACTTCACCACTTACATTAGTGCCCTGAGTGAACACTTTCCACCAGTATAGCAGTCTTCTTGACGGCTTGTCGATTCTAAGAGAAAAACAGGAAAAAACGATGGTGGCTTGTTTCCTCTAACAGTGCTGTGCAGTCTACAGGTTTGACAGATGCTACTGCACTGTAACAATTCCCTGGTGCCATTCCTGGTGGGAAATGTGATCCAGTTAAATGTAGCATCATATTTTTCAGTTCTGTTTGTCAGCTCTATGTTCTTGTCAGTGCACCCATTTCAATAGTCTCCAACAAAGGCACACTATAGTATGCATATATAGTTCAATCTGTAGGTTGTAATTACAAATGGTCTGCCACTTACTACTACTACTACGACGAGCACCTCACTGCAGCATTGTATACGTGTCTGACCACTGTCATTAGTGGGATACGTGTACTCTTTGTAATGGGAGTGATTTTAACATGTTTTAGCCTTGTGCCACTTTACTTCAATGGGCTTGCTTCGTCCCCAGGGTTCTCATGCTTCCTAAAACGTTTAGGCATGGGCGGGCGCACTTACCGTAAAATACCGCGGCAGCGCCCACTTCGTTCAATTGCCCGCTATTAACATTTCTGAAGCTTGGGTATTCTGCAAATTATACATTAAGTGCGCGACTTGACCGGACAAGCACCCATGTCTAGATTAACCCAGTTTTCAG